AGCCTATCGGGAGTGCCGTACAATTGGATGCTGGACTATTATAGTTTTACTGTAGTGCCTGATGCTGCTCCCACTCAAGCGAAAGGGGAAAATCCCATTGATTTTCAGTGGGAGCAAGTCTGAGCCTGAATCTGACAGCACCAGTGATAAAAGGCAAGACACAGAGATTGCTTCAATCACCATCAGTCCTATCACACATGAACAGAGTATTGGTCTTTGGGCCTATAGCCAATCTCTGCCTCTGATATATTTTCAGAACTTCCACTGTCCTTTTTAGCAGTATGCTAAGCCATTTCCCAGTCCTAGCCACTCACTAAGCATAGCCTCCTGACTCTGTGTGACGTAGTGGGGGTACTTGCTGGGCTGTGGTGACCCCTGCTGTCTGGAGCAAGACCCAGCAGGGAAAACCTCACTATGCAAAGGTAGTGCCAAACTTGTTGGTTTGCTGCTTGGGCTGGAGTGCAGGAGTGTGTGTGGGCGGGGGGAGGGGTTTCTCTCCTCTCCACAGGTTGGGGCCAGTCACCAGTGAGCAGATCCTCGTGCGGGGGGAGGGCAGTTCTGGAGCAGAGCAGGTCATTGAAGCCCTGTGGGGGAAGACAGTGAGGGGACTCCAGGGGGGTCAGTCACCATGGCACTGCCACTGGCTGGGGTTGGATGCTGGGCAGGGATTGAGAAACCACAAATCCCCCCCATCCACAACCCTCTGAGCAGACCTGGGGCTGATCCCAATGCCCCCACCCCAGATAAGTGGAGAGGCCCAGGGTGACAAGAAAGCTGCTAGAGGTAGGGAGGTGGGGTAGGTCCTCCATCTGTTTGTGCCATTTCGGGGTGCAGGAGACGGGGGACCCCCAACGCGCCGTCACACTCTGCCCCATGGAAACTGTTAGAAAATCATGAGCGGTGTGGAGAGGGCCGATAAAGAAAAGTTATTTATTAGTTCCCTAAATAGAAGAACTAGAGGACACCAAATGAAATTAATGGGAACCGGTTTAAAACTAATAAAAGAAAGTTCTTCTTCAAATAGCGTGTAGTCAGCATGTGGAACCACTTGTCAGGGGAGGCTGTGAAGGCTAGGACTATAATAGAGTTTAAAGAGAAGCTAGATAATTTCATGGAGGTTAGGTCCATAAAAGGCTATTAGCCAGGGGATAAAATGGTGTCCCTGGCCTCTGTTTGTCAGAGGCTGGAGAGAGATGGCAGGAGACAAATTGCTTGATCGTTGTCTTCTGTCCACCCTCTCTGGGGCACCTGGTGCTGGCCACTGTCAGCAGACAGGATACTGGGCTGGAAGGACCTTTGGTCTGACCCAGTACGGCCGTTCTTATGTTCTTATGTCCCTGTGAGCTGAGTGTCACTAGCAATGTGAATGGGAAACTGGTTACCCATAAGCCTCACCCTTAGTAAGTGATACGTATCAGGTACCCGGGAGCAGTCCCTGGTCCGCAGCCTGGAATACGCTGGGCCCCACCACTGGGCTGCCAGCCCTTGTCCCATTTGGGACTGGAAATGGCTGTCCCACGCTGGGGGCAGGAAGCAGCTAAACTGGAGCAGTTCCTGCCCGTGATGGGGGAGAGCCCCAGTTCAGCGACCCCCAAGCTAACAACCCTGCCTGCCCATCAGTTAACCAGTCAAATATTAAGTTTAACCAGTTAACAAATTACACCAAATTTTACATCCCAGGAGAGATTCCAATGCTGCCCAGCTGATTGGCAGAGTGCCCACAGCCGGCAGCATTTGTTTCTGCTGGGAGTGCACATCTGCACATTGTGTGGTGCACAGAACAAAATTGATTCTGCACATGGGTGGAAAAAGAATTAGAGGAAACATTGTCCCTGACCTCTCCTGCTTGTTCTGTCTCCGCTTCCAGCTCGACTGGGCAGTCCGGAGCAAGAAACCCACCCGGCTGCACCTGAATCAGGCCCATCACCAGAGAGGAGCTGAGCCCGGCCCAGCGCCTACAGCAGCGTCCCCAGCCCGAGCATGGCTGACAGACCATGGGAGCAACAAATAGGGATATTGAGAGCCAAGTGCCGCTGCAAACACTGCACCAGAAGAGGGGAGGGGAGCCAGGTAACGGGGTGTTGCTGCCTGGGACTGGGCTGGAGAGAGACCCTGAGACAGCCTGGGGCTCCAAAGGGCCATGTGTGGGGGCCAGGGCCTCCTTGTCTTCAGCCTCTGGCCCTGCCTCTTCCCCCTTTTCCCCTCAGGGCTGGCAGCTGGAGCCCCACATGGCGCTGGGTGGGGAGGTGAGAGCAGCGCCTGGCCTGTATCCCTGCACCCTGCCCCGCCCCCCATCTTCCTGTCCACAGCAGATGGAGGGTCTGTGGTTGCCCATCACCGTGGCTCTTGCCATGGCCTGGCTCCGAGGCCCTGCTCCCCAGCCAGAGCCAGTTTGTGATAACAGCCCCAAGGCAGCTGTGGGGAGCCATGGACCCGGCTTCTCCACTGGGGGGCAGGGCCTGCAGGGGCAGGGACACAGACCTGGGGCTGCTCCCAATGCCCCCGCCCCAGATAAGTGGAGAGGCCCAGGGTGACAAGGAAGCTGCTAGAGGTAGGGCGGTGGGGTAAGTCCTCCACTGGCCTAATGGGTATGGCTCACACAGATGCCCCCCCCAAACCCACCGCAGCAGGAGTTGGATCCCCTGGGGCTCACAGGGCCCCGATCCATGGCTCCCAGGGACTGGCTGGACGTGTGGCTGGGGGGGGCCGTTTGGGCTGGTGGGTCAGACCCCCTGTGACAGCCCTGGCCCCTCTCGGCCTGGCTCCTTCTCCCCCTTTTGCTGCGTGGTACCCCGGTGAGACCCCGTGTGCGGGGACGGGCTCTGGGCAGGGGGTTGGGGGGTCCTGCCCCTGGAACATCTCTGTGCCCTGAGCTCACTGGTCTGGTGCTGGCCTGGCTGGCAGTGTGGTGGTGGGGGGGGGGGCGG